ATGCAGTCCAAAAGGTGCGTGTTGCTAATCACTGTCATGTGACTTGAAGCAAGAGCCATGCAGTCCTAAAAGGTGCGTGTTGCTAATCACTGTCATGTGATGCAAGAGTCCTGCAGTTGCAAGTACTATAAAACCCTTAAAATATAAATAATTTTTTAATTGGCCCCCCGGGTCGCTATTTAAACCCAAGTAATAGGGATCCCCCACAATAATTACAGGTAATTATTGATGCCCCTATATTAGACATGTACTACAGAAGCCTTAATAGTTAGAATGCGGATTTGGGCTCCGTCTATAAGGGCTACTATAAGGGTCTAGGGTTCAGCGGCCTTAATAATGAGAATAGGGCTTTGGTCCCGGGCTCCTTCATAGTATACCTGACCTATAATAAGGAGCCCTACGAATAATATTTTTAATTATTTAGGCTTCTACATTACTGCGGGCGGAAAAAGGAGCCCTAAGCCCTAAACCCCAAACCCTCAGAAACCTCAAAGCGCCCTAAACCCTAAACCCTAAACCCTAAACCCAGGTACCCAAACACACCAGAGTCTTTGGCACTGGCCAACGATGAGCCCTGGGACGACGATATGTGCGCCGCAGTGGATCCCAGGGGGCTTGAGGTCGTTTTCTTTTTAAATGGGTTTTGGGGTTTGGGGGTTTAGGGAACCCTAAACCCTAAACCCAATGCGCTACCCAAAAAACCTTAAACCCTAAACCCTATTTCCTAAACCCTAAACCCTAGGGGGCTTTGCGGTTTAGGGGTTCAGGGTTTAGGGTCCCAGGCTCTGGTCTTTCATCAAGGGTTCCACACGGCTTTAGCGGTTTAGGGTTTGGGGTTTCGGGTTTAGGGTCACCATGAAGGTCACCATAAGGGTTTTTATCAAACCCGATATTGGGTATTTTGGTGGGTGTTTGAGGTTGTTTGGGCTTTCAAAAGTTTAGGACCGGGCAGTTTCGGGTTCGCTGTTCGGCGCTTTGGGGTTTAGGGCTTAGACTGAAGAATTGGATGCAGGATTCACAACTTAGGCTTCAGGCCTTTAAGGTTCAATTCTTTGAATTCAGACTTTGGGGTTGGAACTTCTGGCTGTAGCAGATTGTGGCATGAGGGCTCACTTGTTAGTGTTCTCCTTAATGCTGGATGGCAGTGTCGAAGGGGTCTAGGTTACGAAGAACAGGAGCTTTTTCTTCAGGTCTGCGGCGCTTGGTTGAAGCGGATGAGGTTCAGGCTTGTTTGGAGACACGGTTTAGGGTTTAGGGTTTAGTCAGTATCTAGTTCTTTGACCCTAGACCCTAAACCCTAAACCCTAAACCCTAAACCCTAAACCCTAAACCGTCGAGGGGTCTTCCCTAGAGCATGCTGAGGGTTGCCCTGGGAGCTGTATCATGTTCTGCTCCGGACGTCGAGACTTTGAAACCCGTGATGACCTTGCAAACAAAGCACAGCTGCAGCATGCCACAGTGTACTATAAGGGGCCTTAAAGATTACCTATACTGTTTTGGGGGGTTCCTTACTATAACCATAGTATAGTATACCCCAAAACCCTAAACCCTAAACCCTAAACCCTAAACCCTATTCCAATTATGAAGGCCCCTAACCCGAAACCCTTATAGTAGCCCTTGTAGGAACCCTCTAAAGGAGACCCCAAAACCCTATTCGAATGATCAAGGCCCCTACATGATAGTCCCTTCGGCACACGAGGCTCCAGGTGTCGCCAACCTCTTTGTCTTGATGGGGCGGTCTTTGGCATTTTAGTTAGGATTTTTAGGATTTTAGGGTTTAGGGTTTAGGGGATGGTGACTTTCTTTCTACGCTTTTTGTGATGTACGTTCCTTGGAGAGTGCCAGAAATGCGCAGAATGTAGCAACAGCCCGCCTTCCTAGAACAAAGGCCATTTAAGGGCCTAGGCAGACCTGCTTCACGGCTTCATCTTACGTTTTGGGAAGCATATTTTTCAGGGCTTGGGTTTTTTGATGTTTGAACATGGGGGCTTCTTAGAACTGCCCCCTTTAACAAAGATCCGCCAGTGTAGGTTCGATAAACGGTTTCATACTCTAGTCTACTCGCCTCCACTCTACTCTGCCCTAGCCTAATGGGAAGGGTTTAGGGTTTGGGGTTTACCGTAATCGCGAATGACCTCCTTTTTCAGGACCTATATGCAAGGAAATCATGATAAGGAATCCTGAAAAGGGAGGTTCTTAAGGGTCCAGGTAGGGTTTAGTTAGTAGGAAGATGGCTCCGCTGACTCGGCTCGATTTGCTTGTTTTCGCTCCGCCTCTGCCAATGACAGAAAGGAAGCCTGCAAGCTTATCCTACTCTGCAGGCTAGGGTTAACCCTAAACCCTGAACCCTAGACCCTAAACCCTGAAAGACGAACCCAAACCCTTTGTGTTGAGTGGTTTTGGTTCCCCCTAAACCCTGAACCTTGAAAACTAAACCCTCAACCCACAACTGACAACCCTCAGCCCTAATGCCGCGAGCTCACCCCAAACCCTAAACCCAAAGCTCTACAGCCCTAATCTTCGGCCATACGCGCATCGCACGGATGGCCTGGGATGTCTTATCATCCGCTGTGCCGGAGCCGGAAATGAGAGTTCCGGGTTCTCAGGTTGTGGGTTTAGGGGTTTAGGGTTTAGGGTTTAGGGGTTGGGGTTTAGGGTTTTCGGGTTCTTGCGGTTTAGGGTTCTTGGTTGCAGGGTTCAGGGCGTAGGAGTTTGGGTTTAGGGTTGAGTCAATATGGAGACCTCAATATTTACCAATACTATTTTGGGGGGTTCCTTATTATAAGTAAAAAGTATAATGGGCCCCAAAACCCTATTCTAATTACTACGGCCCCTATATTAGGGTTCTGGGGCTTTGGGGAGTATTCAGAGCTCTAGGGTTGGGGTTCCGGGCTTTCAACAGCTCAGGACGCAGACCCTTCCTTTTGGGAGCTTCAGAACAGACGGGTTTAGGGTTAGGGTTTAGGGTTTAGGGTTTGGGGTTTAGGGTTTATGAGGGTTCAGTGGGCTAACCCCGAACCCAAAGCCTCGGCGCTGAGCCTCCACCCCGAAACCCTGAATCATTCAAGCCGCGACTTGTCGTCATCGCATCCCCGTCCTCATGGTCATCGGCCCCCTTAATCCTCGTCATTCTCGCCATCATCCTCATCATCCCTCAACCCTAAATCAACCCTAAATCCTAAGCCCTAAACCCTAAACCCTAAACCCTAAACCCTAAACCCTGCACCCTAAACCCTAAACCCCTCCTCATCATCATCGTCACCTGTGAGCCTCCTAGCGCAAAGCCGAAGCCCTAGACCCTACAACCCTAAACCCCATAACACAAGACTAAGGCCCTCCTAAACCCTATCAAAGCCCTGTAGAAACCTACACAAGCCTTCAGGAAGCCCTCCAAAATCCTAGCCAAATCCAGTCCAAACCCTAAACCTTCAACCCGAAACCATAAACCCTAAACCCTAAACCCTAAACCCTAAACCCTAAACCCTAAACCCTAAACCCTAAACCCTAAACCCTAAATTCTAACACAAAAAGCCCGTCTGAGAGGAGGACCTGGGACCCCTAGCCTTCCGAGCCCTGCGAAGCGGCGGGGCTTCGGCGGAGGGAGGCCATGGGCTGTGTACGGCTTCCAGGGTTTAGGGTTTTAGGGGGTTTTAGGGTTTTAGGTTCATGTCTCGTTTTTGGAAAGAAGGAAGTTGCATGGGGTTTTTGCAGTTTTAGAGGATTTTTGGCAAGTCAACCCCGGCACAGCCGTCGCAGGCCAGTGGCTGGTGCTATGGCAAGGACTGGAGTGGGAAGCCGCGAGCCGTACCTAAACCCTAAACCCTA